GGGGGGGGTTCCCTTTTCATTTTTTTTCAACCGGATGCTCGTTTCACGTGCTTGTCTCCGAAGCGGAAAGTCCTGGTTCGAGCCTCGGTTCGGACACGGAATTTTTTCGCCCCCTCCTATTCACCCAGCAGTAATGGGTTCCTCACTTCGAGTTGGGGAAGCAAAGGCAGAGTGGAAAGGAACTGGCCGCCCTACCACAATATGCCGAAGGCCCAGGAAGTTGTCTCACTAACAAGGCAATCCCCAATGTCCGGATCGGATGCGGGAACAACTTTACTCGTCTCACAGGCGCCCACAGCCTTCTAGTTGTCGGGCTGATGCGTGGCGACACCTGATTATTTCGCCGACAGTCTGAGGTGGCGCGGTGCTTTCGAAGTTTCTCCACACAACTTCAAAATGTCATTCCCATTTCCTTTGTTATAGTTTTGATCAAAGCCTGGAAAAAATAACATTTTTCATAATCAATGCAAATCAGGAACAAATCGGCAACAAACGTCAGAAATAGGTCGATCCCGCAGAGACGTGTGAGGAAAAGAGATTATCAGACAGCCACAGGATGGGTGCCGTGCTCCGTGTGCAGTGTATACCTCTGAGGGCCAATGAACTGGAGGTATTGTGGGACAAATTTGCACTAGTTTAAAAAGGATCGTACAACTAAGACAGTTGACGGACGGCTGTGTAAAGGCGCCAATGATATGCTTATATAGGCGTTCCTTTCCGTACATTGACAAAACCTCGTGGTAAGCTGGGTTGGCAGTATAACTTAGGGCGGTATATCGAGTTTCGAATGTACCTTTTTTTTTCAACAGACTGGTCTGCAACAGATTATGGTCTACCTGAGATCTCTGCCGATGACCAGACCCTGACTTTGCCTCTGGTCATGCGTTATTTATGTCCACCTGTGGTCACTTTCATTGGGTTGGGAGCTGTGTCTGCAGCCGTCATGTCGTCCACGGATTCTTCCATCTTGTCTTCCAGCTCTATGTTTTCCCGGAATGTCTTTGGAGTCATCTATAAACGTATAACTAATGAAGAGGTGAGGAGGAATTTGTTCTTTGTTTGTTTGTTGTCGTTGGGGTTTTTTTGGGGGGGGGGGTTGGTTTCTTTCTTAAAGTTTTTTTTCGGGGTGGGGTTGCTTGGGTTTGTTTTTGTTTTCTTGATAGAGTTATCCCGCACTTGCAAAACAATTATGTCATACGGGTGGCGAAGATTAGATGGTGTTACTAGATAGTAGCATACAAATAAAAGAAGGAGGAGAGATAAGGACGATAGAGCAAATCACACCAGAGTACCTGCCAAAAAGCTTCAAAGTGGGTTTAAATCCCTTCACTGCTCAGCCCAAATTCTTGTGTTGCATAAACAATTGTATTAGCAGTCGTTGAAGTACATCATTCTATGTGGCTTGGTGTCCTTTCATGTCTGTGGAAGGGCGGGGGATGGCGATATACCACCCCTCCCCTCATACACCTCACATATAAACTTGTTACACCCTGCGCCAGCCCTCCCCTACCCAACGTCCCCATCTCACCCCCATCTCCCCAGCCTCCCCTTCTCATCCCCTTCCCATCCCCTCGACCTCCCCTTCCTCATCCCATCTTCTTTTCACCCCCC